ATAATCAAATTCAATTTTCAGGCTCAGCTAACCTTAGTATCACATATACTTTTCTCCCAATATGAAAAAGTGACTAGTACTTCTGGGAGCTTCTCGGCAATGTTTTAAAAGAGCTGGACTTTTGTGTGGCTTGAGTTCATCTTACTTTCTTTTTGGAAAAGGCAAAACAGAATCTTGTTTACTTTAGCTTGTTCATTTTAGCACAAATTCAATTTTAATTTATTGACCAAGGTACAGCTACTCTATGCATGATATCCATATGTATCTGTATCATGCCAATATGAATGTCAAACCTTCAACACGTATGCAGGATTTGATGCAATTAATACAGAGTGGCTACTATTGTCTCATTTTCTGCAGATGATCACTTGGATATTTAGTAATTTTCTAGAAATAGGAAGGAAACCTGAACACAAAATACATGCACAGCACATGAGTTTTTAATTATACACATATGTAGAAATCAGTACATGTGCAAGCAGTAGGCAGAAATCTAGTTTGTATTTTAAAATACTGCAGTAATATTACAATGCATTGTGCATGTGTATAACATTAGATGCTTTCTTCAGAACCAACAAACTGAACACAGGTTTGTTTGTTTTTTAACTCTAGTAGTTTAGCTAAGTATGAAATTTAATCAGCAGCCTAAAGCAGATCAGAAATCCCCTTCGAGCAGATCCACAGAATCCCTTTTTATGTATTTGCGATTTTCCCTTTTGATCGAATTTGTTCTTGGTAAGTAGAATAATTCCGAAGAAGCCCACGCTAAAATATGATACATCACTATCGAACTGCATTTTATGAATGAATGATGACTTGCAAAACTGTAATCTCTCTTTATAATCAACAAGGCTGGATAAAAACCATCACTTATTTTTTCCCCATTGCTACACATAGCTGGGAAGCGAGAATTTGGTACAAACTGCTACATACAAAACAGTCTGTTTCAGAGGACTTTTCTTTGAAGTCTTTGATGCTTATTTCTTTCTTTCTTTCTTTAACATTTCAAAACAGGGGTTTCAAACAATATAGCTAAAACCTGCTCAGCTTCAGCAAAGTTATTGGAACATATACTCTCATCCTATAGTCCTTGTGGAAAGCACACAACTTGTCTCAAGCTGTTAACTAGATATTTACAAATTTGGGATGAAGTTTTCATCAAAGCTAGAAGCAGTAAGGAAATGCCTTTTTTGGGACTATTATCTGCCAGAATCCTCAGCTAAAATGATCACTTTTTGTAGTTAAAAAGAAAAAGATTCAGGTTTTTGTTGTTGTTGTTCCAACTAACTGAATTCAGAACAAGGATGAGAATCTGCAATCTTCCAGATGCTGTTTGACTGCAACTGCAAGAACAACTTGCAGTCAAAGAACATGTAGAGAGATACACAATTCTCATCCTGGCTTTAGAGCATGACTTGGTCAACTGATTGAATAATTGTTTACTGTTTGCTGTTGTCAGGATTGTAGAGGCACATTTCAATTAACAAAGCCTCTCTTTTTTTGTGTTGGCAGAACTGCTGACTGAAAGGTTGGCAGTTCAAATCCGGGAGTGGGGTGAGCTCCCACATGTCAGCTCCAGCTTCTCATGCGGGGACATGAGAGAAGCCTCCCATAGGATAGTAAAACATCCGGGCATCCCCTGGGCAACATCCTTGCAGATGGCCAATTCTCTTACACCAGAAGCAACTTGCAGTTTCTGAAGTTGCTCCTGACAAGTCTCTGATAAGTCTTTTATGTCTTCCCAGTCCTCTCTCTGTCCCTCTCTTGTTCTCCATCTAGCTGTAGGTTTTTAAGCAGCATCAATACCAGGAAGATGGTGAACAAGGGCTTAAAAAACACAGACTTCTAATGTCAGGTTGTGGCACTGTGCCTGTGGCATGCAATGTAATAAAGCTTGACCTGAGAAAAAATTGGACTCCATCCTAGTCAGTATTGCTGTAGCTCTGTGTACCTGCCCACAATAGCCAAGGTAAATAGTAGCTGCCTCCCTTCCTGAGCATGTGTGAATAGCATCACAATAGAGAATAGAGGAAGCAGATAAATTGTCCTGATTAATTATTCCTACCATGTTGAAAAAGCGTGGACTTAAGTTTGGCCATCAAAATAAAAATCCTAAAAAGATTAAAGAAGATATCATTCCTGAATCATTTTGGAAGAAACTTTCGGTTTCAATACGTTTCAATGGACTTAGACAAGGTTTACCTAGTTTTATTTACTGTATGAATATTATTGGTACGCTTGTACAAGAAGTTAGCTGACATATTTTGCCTGATTCATTTGTAATGTCTTTCATATCTACCTCTGATACAAAATTTCCTATTAAAGTAGTAATATCCTGCATCAGATCTACTTTGCTCACTGCATGTGCACTGTGTGCCTCCAAATGATGTCAGATCTATGGCGACCTTAAGGTGAACCTACCACAGAAAACCTCTTTTGAACAAATCTTACTAAGAAAACTACCACAGAGTTTTTTTAGTAAGATTTGTTCAAAGGAGGTTTTCTGTCACCTTCCTTTGAGGATGTGTGACTTGCCGAAGGTCACCAGTGGTTTCCACAGCCAAGTGGGGATTCAGACCCTGCCCTATGCCCAAACCACTATACCAAACTGGCTCTTAACTGAGATACATACGTATAATGATCTACTCTTTCCATGGCTGTAACCTAAACATCCTTGAAGTTCAACTAACCAAAGACAGTTAATGCATATATATATGAAATGAACACATACAGGTACATACCCAAGAATACATGCAAACCAGCCAACTCCAGAGTCCTACTAACTGTGTATGTGCTGGGTGCCTTCTAATCATTTCTGAACTATGATGATCCCAAGGTTAACTTGGCAATATTTGCTCAGAAGAAGTTTACTGTTGCTTCTCTGAGACTGAAGAGTCTGACTTACACAAGGTCACCCAGTGGGTTTCCATGGCTAAGCAGCAATTTGAATTCTGGTGTCCAGAGTAATAGTCCTACACCGAAACCACCTCACCATGCTGGCTCTCTGAGATATCTACATGCATATATAGGTACATACAGGCAAACCAATCTGTGCAAGATTCATACTAATCATGTATGTATCCTGTTGTCATTTATTATATATATTACCTTCAAGTCATTTATTACATATATTACCTGTGCCCCATTTCATGTTGTGCTGGTCACAGACCGTAATAAATCATTGATTGATTGATATAATGACTCTAATCTTTTTGCAAGGTTTTCTTGGCAATATGTTTACCATGGCCCTTGCCTTCCTCTGAGTGTGAGCAAGTGGTTTCCATAGCTGATCAGGGATTCAAACTCTTGCATCTCCAAAGTTGTAACCCATCATTCACTACTCCATGATGGCTCTTTTTAACTGGGATGTAATGCACGCTGAGGGACCTTTTTCCTGGCTGCAACCTAAAGCTCTTTAGAAGTTCAATGGACCAAAATGCATATAAACTGAATGTGTGATGCATACATATCCAAGCAAACCAGCCAGCTTCAGAGTTGTACTAACTTTATTTGTGTTATGTGCCGCCAAGTCATTTCTGGTGACTTGGCGGCACAAGGTGACTCTATCACAGGGATTTCTTGGCAGAATTTATTTATTTATTTACTATATTTATACCCCAAAGGGGACTCAGAGTGGTCTTACAGAATTTGCTCAGAATTTGTGTCCTCCCCTTCCTTTGAGCATGTGAGCATATGTCTTGTCTATCTATTAATCTGTCCATCTATCTATCCATTCATCTATCTATTCATCTGTCTGTCTGTCTATCTATCTATCCATCCATCTATCTGTCTGTCCACCTATCATCTATCGATTCATCTGTCCATCTATCTATCCATTCATCTGTCTGTCTGTCCATCCATCATCTATCTATTCATCTGTCCATCTATCTATCTATCTATCTATCTATCTATCCATTCATTTATCTATCTGTCTATCCACCCATCATCTATCTATTCATCTGTCCATCTATCTATCCATAAATCTGTCTGTCCATCGATCATCTATCTATTCATCTGTCCATCTATCTATCCATAAATCTGTGTGTCCATCGATCATCTATCTATTCATCTGTCTTTCTATCTATCCATTCATTTATCTATCTGTCTGTCCACCCATCATCTATCTATTCATCTGTCTGTCTATCTATCTATCCATTCATCTGTCCATCCATCATCTATCTATTCATCTATCTGTTTGTCTGTCCATCCACCATCTATTCATCTGTCTATCTATCTATCCATTCATTTATCTGTCTATCCACCCATCATCTATCTATTCATCTGTCCATCTATCTATCTATCCATAAATCTGTCTGTCCATTGATCATCTATCTATTCATCTGTCTTTCTATCTATCCATTCATTGATCTATCTGTCTGTCCACCCATCATCTATCTATTCATCTGTCCGTCCATCTATCTATCTATCTATCTATCCATTCATCTGTCCATCCATCATCTATCTATTCATCTGTCCGTCTATCTATCCATTCATCTATCTATCTATCTATCTATCTATCTATCTATCTATCCATTCATTCATCTATCTATTCATCTGTCCATCTATCTATCTATCCATTCATCTGTCTGTCCATCTATCATCTATCTATTCATCTGTCTATCCATTCATCTCTCTCTGTCCATCTCTTCATCTGTCTATCTATCTATCCATTCATCTGTCTGTCTATGGGATACTATATTCTGGGGCACTGAAAAACACTTCTAAAACTCTGCTGTTTTGATGCACTGGCAAATCTCTGTTTTCCTAACGGAGCAGAGAAAACAGGTTATTCAGTCTAACAACTGAAAACCATTGCCTAGCATAATTACATCTGGTGGTGGTACACAAGAGAAGCTTCTACTCTAAAGAGTTTGGCTCTTCTCTGAGAGGTCACGCTTTTCTAAAAAGTTATGATCTCCAAGAAGTGATTTCTTTCCCAAAAAGTGATGAAGGCCCTTTGCAGCTGGGGGGCTGGGTGTGTGTGGTCCCTCCCTCCCTACCTGGTAGGCGTCGGGGAGGTTGACGGTCTGCCCGTGCTCGGCCACGTATCCGATGATGCCCTTTCCCCAGGGCACCTGGACCTCGTCGGCGTCCTCGGGGCCGCCCCCGCAGCAGCAGCAGGGGAGCAGCGGGGTCCCGGCGTGGACGTCGAAGACCTTGGAGACGAGGCTCTTCTTGCCCGCGGCGGCTTCGACGAGGAAGAGGGAGCCTCGGTCGGCGTCGACGAGGAGGCAGACGAAGATGAGGACCTTGTAGCTGAGGGCGCGGAGGTCGAGCTCGTTGGAGATGTCCTTGACCAGCTCGAGGAAGAACTGCCGCTCGTTGTGCTGCTTGAGCTGGCGCTTGTAGTCGAGGGCGGTGGGCGGGCAGGCGGGCGGGTTGACCCGCGACTCGAGCAGGGCGCTGAGGATGTGGGCCGTGGTGGGCGGGAGCGAGCTGGCCTTGCGCAGGAGGGCCCGGCGCCGCGCGCTCCGCAAAGAGGGCTCCTGCGCCCGCGCCCGCCCGGGCTCCTCGTAGGTCCGGTTCACCGGGATGGCCTTGGAGCGCGCGAAGCTCCGGCGGAGCTCCTTCTGCGAGGCGCGACGGTGCAGAGCCCCGCCCTCCTCGGACCACGACGTGGACAGCCCCCCGCTGAGAGGCGCCGCTGGAGCGGACCCTCCGTTGAGGCTTTTGCTGCTGGACCTCCTCTCCTCGGCCTCTTTGCTCCCGAGCAGCAGCGCCTCCTTCTGCTTCTTCTTCAGCCACTTCTCCACCAACTCCGGGTGCCTGTCCAGGAAGTTCTCCACCGCCTCAGAGTCCAACTCGCGGGGAGCAGACGACATCGCCTTTTACTTACCAAAAAAAGGGAGCCTAAGAATCAAAAAGCGGGGCAAGAACTTAAGAGTTTGTCCCTTCCACGTTTTCCCTCCAAAAAACCAAACAAACCCTCAAAACTTTCGACGAAACCGAACCTCCCCCATGTCTCCAGAAAAGCGGGGGAAAGAGAGCCCTGTTTTTGTTTGTTTTGTTATGAGGAGGGAAAGAGCCAGCGCTGCCTTGCGATGCTTCACTCCTCTCTTGGCGAAGTTGCTTCTGAGGGAGGGAAAGAAGCCGCCTTCGCTGGGAGGTGGGCGAGGAAAGCCCGCCCGCCTCCAAGCCTTGGCTAAGAGGTACCCCGCCTTTGAATTCTTCTCAGGTGGATGTTACTGCAAGGCGTGGGCTTCCTCCTCCTCCTCCTCCTCCCGCAACCCCGAGTGAGAGAGATGCCCCTTCTTCTTTCCTCTGGCTCTGCCCGCGGAGCACTGAGGGAAAAGGAGGCGGGAGGGCGCGAGAAGCGGAGGAGGAGCAGGAGGAGGAAAGGCGGAGGCAGAGCGCGGCACGAGCCAAGGCAGCCTCCTCTTCCTCCTCCTCCTCCTCTCTCCCCAAAGGCGGTCACGTCGACTGAAGCAGCGGGTGGATGGATAGATGGATATATAGATGAATGAAGGGGCTGCCCAAGAAGGCAAGAGGACGCGCGCGCTCTGGTGGAAGGTTTCCTCGGCCTGCCATTGGCTGGCATTGGATCCAAAAGGGAAACAAACCTCTCCTCCCTCGCGTCCCAGGTCTCTCATTCTAACATAAGGGATGCAGGCGCGCGCCACGGATGCTGCCGGGGAGCCCTGGCTTGCCAAAAGGAGGCATTTGGACAGGGCAATAACGGAGTGCAGGAGTGATCCTGCCCTTTTTTAAAAAAGAAACTGCAAGTTGTTTCTGGTGTGAGAGAACTGGCCGCCTGCAAGGACGTTGCCCAGGGGACGTCCAGAGGTTGTGATGTTTTACCATCCTTATGAGGGGAGGGGTATAACAAAGCACCTCACGCTGTTGCCTCACCAAAATATAATAACACAGCAAGGAGTAGGAGAGAAGAGTAAGATTTTAATTCATTTCTTTAGACGGGGAAATATATATATTTCCCCGTCTAAATAACCGTATCTCCATCTACGAACCCACGCGTTCACTTCGGTCATCTGGAGAGGCCCTGCTCGTGATCCCACCTGCATCACAAGCGCGTTTGGTGGGGACACAAGACAGGGCCTTTTCCGTGGTGGCCCCCCAACTCTGGAACACCCTCCCCAAAGATCTTAGACAGGCCCCTACATTGGCAGTCTTCAGAAAACACTTGAAGACCTGGCTGTTCCAATGTGCCTTCCCAGATTAGGAAATCTCCAATACCAAGTCCCACAAGCATTTTACTAGAACTAAGATTGCTGCACACCGCACATTGCACTTGCCCTTATATACCACCCGTCACATCAGCACTTTTAATCTTGTACCCATTACTCTGGCCCRGCCCAGTTTTATTGTGKCTTAGTGTATTGTTCATTGCATGTTGTTTAGATTGCTTTAATTGTTTTTAATTTGCCTTAGGTTTTGTATTGTTGTATTGTGTGTTGAGGCCTTGGCCTTTATAAGCCGCATCGAGTCCTTCGGGAGATGCTAGCGGGGTACAAATAAAGTTTAATAATAATAATAAAAATAATATAATAATCCCAACGCTCGCTGCKCAGCCAAAATTATAAAGCTCACAAAAGGATGAGAGAGTGTGGTTGCTGAACCAACTGTATATTTAAAAGTTAGGAACTGGGAACCACTGGAACTGAGAGACTTAAAATGATTCTTCAAAAGATTTCTGCTGCCACCATTTCACTATTATTCAGGCTGAGGTAATATTGAGAGTTTGTTCTATAACACACACTGTGCCACTATAGTTTCTTAGAAGCTGCTGTGAAGCTGACTTTAATAATACTTTGACCACAAAAGTATTCACACTGAGGCTTGTATAAGTTGATAAAAATAACAAGAACTTTTATTGAACAGGCTTTAATAATTCAGGTACAAATGCTTAATGCAGAGGTCCTCAAACTTTTTAAACAGAGGGCCAGGTAACAGTCCCTCAAACTCTTGGAGGACCGGATTATAATTTGGAAAAAAAATGAATGAATTCCAATGCACATACGTATCTTATTTGTAGTGCAAATAACACTTAAAAACAATTTTAACAAATATAAACTTATTCGTATTTCAATGGGAAGTGTGGGCCTACTTTTGGCTGATGAGATAGGATTGTTGTTGTTGTTGTTGTTGTGTGCTTTCAAGTCATTTCAGACTTTGGTTGACCCTGAGTGAGGGCCAGGTAAATCACCTTGGAGGGCCGCATCCGACCCTCGGGCCTTAGTTTGAGGACCCCTGGCTTAATGGTTTCAGTAAAATACTGGCATAAAAAGCTTGTGGTTGCGTTAGAGTAAAGATCTTATAAACTTCTGGGTTACAAGTCTTCAAAGTTCCACCACAGAAAATTACTTCAGGAAATGAATCTTTGAAAGTAACTCCCAAAAATCCTCCTTAGGAATCTAGCCAAAAACCCTGAACTAGACTTCCTTAGGAACTGAACAGAAACAGACCACTAATGGGGTACTATTCCACACAATAGCTACTCTGAATACTTCACAAAAGACTAACCCAATCTTCTTATCCAAACTCATTCTCACTAACACCAACACTTCTCTCTAACAGCTCCAAACCCCAACTTGCTCAACTGGGACCTCAAGCCTCAGTTTAAAATACACTTTTTTTTCTCCAAACCACTTAGGCTCCGCCCCCATCTTCCTAGCCAATCCTAGCCTTCTGATTTTCCCTCTAAGACTGGAATATGTCCCCTCAAGGCAAACCTAACTAAGATGGCATCTCCCTGTCTTTCTTTCCTAAAATGGATGCTTTGCCAGGCCCACTCCTTTAGGCTATCAGGCAGCTAGCTAAGGTAAGGGATTCATTACAGGGGGCTTCTCTGATGGCCCTGCATGGGGAGCTGGAGCTGACAGAGGGAGCTCATCCGCACTCTCCCCGGATTCAAACCTATGACTTGTGAGTCTTCAGTCCTGCTGACACAAGGGTTTACCCCACTGCGCCACCGGGGGCTTCTATCCTGCCCTTGTGAGAGGCGATTTGTAAAGTATTGCACTGGAGCAGCATTTTCAAATAAATTCCCTGCATCCCCGTGCCTAGATCTACACCGACTTATTATTTCCTTTGATTAATATAAAAAAAAAATCCTGGTTGAAAGTGTTGTTTCCTGTTCAATTGTGTTGTACTTACTTTGAAAATAACTGTTATACTCCAGACACTTCATCTTTGTGGCTGTCACAAAGTATGCTGACTTGGTAGAGACTCCAGGACATATTAATTGAGACTCCTTATATCCCAGGATCTGATCCACAATATCTGCTTTGAACTAGATTATATGAGTCTCCACTGCCATATAATCTGGGATAAGCAGAAAACCTGGGATGAGCTCCTGTAATATGACAGGGCAGGACCCTTCTAGACCAGCCCTATATCCCAGGATCTGATCCCAGGTTATTTGCTTTGAGATGGATTTTATGACTCCCCACTGCCATATAAACTGGGATAAGAAGATAATCTGGGATCAAATCCTGGGATATAAGGGCAGAGTAGGCCCCTTCCTGGCAAGCCCTATATTCCTGGATCTGATCCCAGGTTATCTGCTTTGAACTGGATTATATGAGTCTCTACTGCCATATAATCTGGGATAAGAAGATAGTCTAAATTCAGATGCTAGAAGGGGCCTAAGAAACTAGAGCAAATGGAGCTGCAGGATGTCCTGCAAAAATATGTATAACCCAAGAACAAAACTCGGGTTATGTGAGTGTGCACTGACCTTATATGTGTGTTTGTGGGATGCATCTGCACTGTAGAAGAAATGGTTGGAATTGCCACAACCCAATGCTATGGAATCTCAGGAGTGTTTTTTTTTAAAGTATTCAATCTTCTCTGTCAAAGAGTTCTGGTGTCTCACCAAACTGCAGCTCCCAAGATGCAGTAAAGTTGAGTCAATTTGCATTCATTCTGCTGTGTGGATGCATCCTGGGAGAGGAGATTTAGAAAGCACTGTACAAGGGGTGCCTAAAGAATCTTAAGGAAAAGAAAGGCCATTTGGAAAGTACTGGATTGGTTTCCTTGCGCCTCTCTGTATGTGTGACCAGGGGCGGCTTGTCCATTACGCGAAGTAAGCGGTCGCAGAACACTTTTTCTTGCCAGGGGCGCAGAGGCGCCTCTGTAAATGCCCCTTGACTGCCACTTGAGGAGCGCCCCCTCAGCTCACAACAGCCCTAGCAGTCCGGGGGGAGCCTCGGCTTTCTTGCCTCGCTGCCGGGCGATCCTCTTCCCAAAGGGGCCGGGCCCTTGAGCCTCGCCTAGCCCCTCTCGTTCCTGCTCCACCCGGCCAACGGGTGCGCGAGCAGAGCCGGCACTCAATTGTTCTCCGCGTTCGATCCCTTCCCCATGACCAGCTCCCTTTCCTGATCCCCCGGCGCTCCACCCGCCTCCTCTCCTCTCCCCAATCCGCGGGTGGGCCAAGGGGCGGAGCCGCCACGCCTGGCCCTCTTCGGGTCCGGAGGCGTGTCTGAAGATCCCAGCGTGCGCACCAAAAGTCGCCTCTTCTCCTGACTTTCTCTTCAGCCATTGGGACCGAGAGAGAGAGAGAGAGAGAGCCCCTCCTGGAGGTATCTCCCACCTCCGCTCCCTCCTTTGTTTTTGCGCCTTGTTGTTGTTCATTCGTTCAGTCGTCTCCGACTCTTCGTGACCTCATGGACCAGTCCACGCCAGAGCTCCCTGTTGGCCGTCACCACCCCCAGCTCCTTCAAGGTCAGTCCAGTCACTTCAAGGATGCCATCCATCCATCTTGCCCGTGGTCGGCCCCTCTTCCTTTTACCTTCCACTTTCCCCAGCATAATTGTCTTCTCTAGGCTTTGCTGTCTCCTCATGATGTGGCCAAAGTACTTCAACTTTGTCTCTAGTATCCTTCCCTCCAATGAGCAGTCGGGCTTTTTTTTTCCTGGAGGATGGTTAATATAATTTTTATTGATTTTCATATACATATATATTGTTAAAAACAGGTAAAGGGGTTTAGAGGAGAAGGTTACAAAAAAAGGGGGGGGAGTGCGGAGGGGAAAGGAGAGTTGGGGAGGGAAATGTTACACAGGTAGGGGAGAAGGGCAGGTGGTCGGGGGGAGGGGCGACGGGGGGGGGGGGTTGGTACTTCCAGGTTTATCCGGCGTGGTATGAACATATTCTGACTGTAGATAATGGATTTATATATATACTAGCTTGGGGACCCGGCGCTTGCCCGGGTTATTTGAGAAAGAATTGTGTATCAAGGTTGGTCTTTATCAGTTATTTATATGACTCGCAGTTGTCTCAGGAAGTTAGTGAAGTTACTGTGAGTCCCATTATCTGTGGTCCATCCCCCTCCAAACTGCTCCAGGATGGAGAGTGGGTCATGGGGGTTTTGTGTGCCAAGTTTGGTCTTGATCAGTCATTAGATGAGTGTTGCAGAGGTCTTGGGAAGTGAGTGGAGGTACTTG